CCCCCCCCCCCCAGCTGTAGCCGTCTTTTTGTTGAGAGCCGTGCCCTCAAACCACAGGGCTGCGATTGCCGTCGACCGCTGCTGTCGCTCGTGATGACCTACCTGACTGAAAAGTTTGGCATGTAGTGTAATTCATGTAGTGTAATGACGTAACAAGGAACGCGCAACACGGACACGTGCCTCGGCATGCACTACACACACAGTTTTTTTCAATTACTATATCACCATGTCGTAACCCTACCGCTGTATCCCCAACAGCAGTCACACTGCCCATTGGCCCGACGAGAATAAGCGACTTCGGGCGCCCGCATGCCCCTACAGTACCCCTCCCGAGTGTCGGTGCTAACGTAGGCATCCCGCAAGACCTCCTTCCGAAAGAAGAACCGCACCACACAGCAGCGACTCACGGGCAACATCAGCATCTCGACCCGGGGTACCCACCCCTTGACCCCCCGTCCCACCGCGTATCCCCCACTTATTTTTGCCGTATCCCGTGTACAGGTACATGTACTCATTGTGACCACGGAAGGAAGGCTCTCTACCGTGTATCCCATGCCGTACTTGTGACCACGGAAGAGAGGCTCTCTACCGTATCCCATGCCGTGTTTATTGTGACCACGGACCGAATGTTCTCTACCGTATCCCTGTACCGTACTTACTGTGACCACGAGCGAAGGCTCCCGCATCGGTTGGACCAGCAAGGATGTTGTCAGGAGGTTCTGAGCAAGCAGAGATCGGAAAAGATTTTTTTTTGTAATGTTGCGAAGACAAACAAGACCAGCATACGGCTGTTGAGCTTACTGTTTGTACGCGAAGAGATGTGGAAACCAGGATATAAGACAAACGTAACGACACTGCTGTTACACAGCACGAATGTGGTTGGGAGGGTCTGAGCCAGCAGAGATCGAAACAGGTTTCAATGTTATCGAGACGAACAATACCAGAAGACTGCTGTCAAGCGAAAAGACGAACGTAACGACACTTGCTGTTAAAGCTAGCTGCTGTAGGTCACGCCACTACTGCCGTGGCCAGATTTTCATGCACGCCCCCGAGCAGAGGGGTGTTTTTAAGGCAAACAATACCACAAGACTGCTGTTAAGCTTTACCGTAACCTAACAGACGAACGCAACAACACCTGCTGTTGAAGCTAACTGCTGTATCCAACTCCACCATCCACTGCTGGGGGCAGATTATCATGCACGCTCCCGAGAAGAAGGATGGCGGCAAGGGCAAGAAGAAGAGGAAGGGGACCAGCGAAGATCTCAGCAGGGGGGGCGTGGACGGCGGCCTGCGCTTCCTGGCGATATTGCCCTTCCCCGTGGAGAGCGCCTACGACGGCGGGGGAGGCAGC